TGAAGCTAAAGTAGAATAATACTGAATGTCAACCATATATATGATTGTCGGAAAAGTCATGACACATTTTTGCAACAAAAACCAGAAAAAATACATCATGACTTTTCTGACAACCCAATAAATATCTTGTCATGGAATGTGGAGCATAGCATAAAGAAGAGAGTCAATGGCATTGTAACAGTTATAACAAGATGTCAGAGGGGTAGTAGCTTGGTGGAAAGGGGGGAGGACTTTGTCAGGGGTGTAAATGTCTAACTATTATGTTGCTTTGTACACCTGAAACTAATAAAAAATTTGAAAAAAAATTAAAAAAATAATTACTTGGAAAGTCATTCTATTTTAAGGTTTTTTAAATTAGAAAAAGCTTATAGGTGTTCTAGTACAGTCTTCTCATCATTGAAGTGAAGAAACTGAATCTGATTAAGTGATATGACCAAGGCTGAAATATCAGAGTTGGATCTAGAATGTGACATTCCTGATAATTAATGTAGGGTGTTTTGTTTTTTCTTTTGTCCAATTACCAGTAAGTGAATTAAAAGTGTTCATTCCATAATTAGCAAGAAGTTTAATAGCAACTTGTTATTTTAGGAATATAGACTCCATGTGGGACCATTGATAGCTGGACTCAGTTTCTAGCTCTGCCCTTTATCATTTGTAAGTTACCTAAGCTATCCACAGCTCAATTTTTTTAACTCCTAAAATGGCAAAAATATTGGCACCAACTTTATGAAATAGTCAATATAAAACACTTACCATAGTACCTGAGTTATAGTAAACACTCAATAATTTTAGCTGATATTATTATTACTATTCTTTTTTATTATTTCATAAAATAAAAGATCATGGTTTTCATTTCTTGAACTATAAAGACAAACCCAATTGAAACACTCATATTTTCAAATGTCATTGTTGAGAATGACATCGTTTCTGCATTGTCGTTTTGCTTGAATTTCTACTAGTTTACACATCATTAGAAACACAAATAGCATGATGTTATAATATAAATCCTATAGTGGAAACCAACATTTTCTTTTATTTCTATTTTTAAGTGATGAATTAGTAAAAATCTCAAAGGTAATTATAATATGTATGGTAACCTTACTAAAATATATTTATCAAATTTACTAAATCTAACCTCAGGGAAATGTGATAGTGGTACAAAATAAAGGATATAAAGCCACATATTCTAAGTAGTCAAATATATGGCGTACCCTTAATTATTTAGAAATTGATCAAATTTCTAAGATATCAAACTCTTATTTTCTTCATCCTTCACTTCTGACTATGTTTTATCCATGTTTCCCATTTATGTACCCATCCTGGGAGAGAGAGAGCAAAAAAGAGGAGGAAAACTGCAAATTTGTTAATATAGTTATTCCTTAGTAGATGGGAAAGACGTGGAAAAGCTTAAATTGTAATGATAGATCTGTTGTGGGTCACCAGTTCCACCAACATGCAGCAGCTACAATTTCTCTGTCTTCTCCTGGCCTGGATAATTGGGAGTTGGCTGATATGTTTTGAAAGAGGTAGGAGACTTAATCTTTAAAACTACTCATTACAAATGACTGAATAATTCTGCAACAATTGTAATTATGTCATCCTCTACAAAAATGCATTCAGGTTTTTATATTAAATTAACCTTTATAATATTAAAGCCAAAATATCTTTAGCCACATTAATTTATTGTCTATTCATTGCTGCTGCATTTAATATACAATTCATTATGCCAAACACAAATCTAGGTAACTCAGAAACAAAACAAAACTTTTCCACATTAACAGAAAAAAAATTATGCAGAAATTGTAAAACTGTATTGAACATTTAGTTGAAATATTGGGCAAAATGCATTAAATCAATAAATCAAGAGAGAAGAAAGGCAGTAATAGAACCTAAAACTCATTAATAGACTGACTATACAGACAGACAATGGGCAGATTATCTATCAAAATAGAAGTCTAACCCACCACTTAACAGCATCTTGCTCAGGAAACCGTATCTATGGTACACAGCCCAGGAAGCCATTCCGCTATGTCAGACTTGCAGAAAGCCAGACTGCCATCTCGAGTAACAATCCCGGAAGCTACACAATAACTTTTGTAACAATTGGCCCCAAATGGCCAGGAGTTGATTAATAATAAACAGCTTCTAATTTTTGTTCCCACTTTTAACTTAGGACCCGATACAGCCAAATATATACCCCTAACTAATCACATAGGATGCCCCACTTCTATGTGAGCCCACTCACAGCTTCCCCACACCAACAGCCTCCATTCAGGCCTACCCGAAGCCTTCCCTTGTCTCCCTATAACGTTTTCTCACTCCTTGTCTGCCTTTGAGTCTTTGCCAAAACACAAGTGATGGTGGCTGATGCTGTTGATATAATACAAGCTCTGAATAAGGAATTTTTGCTTCTCTCCTTTGCTTGGTCTTCAACTAAATGTCCTTGGGTGATTCTAAAGAAAGGGTAATAAATGTGTATGAACAGATATTCTTGCTTCTTTTAAAAATCAATTGCCTAACAATCATATGAAATAAATACTATTGTGTTTATTTCACAAATGAGGAAACAAAGCATAGAGTTATTCAGAACATTACCTAAAGCTCCTCAGATAGTGAGCAGTCTACTTTTAAAAACAGAAGTACTCTTTTTTTTTAAATTTCAAAGTCCAACAAATATTCTGAAGAAACGCCTCATTAAAATTCACTTTAAGATATTCCTTTACCACATAATTTATCCACAGAACCTAAATTTGAAGTAACTTGTTTTCTAACTATAACATAACATAAATTACCCTCATAGATAAGAATGGGGGGTGAAGCATTTTCCCATATTAAAAATTACCATGAAAGTTACATAAAGCCAGATTGAAAAAACAAAGGAACAAACAAACAAAAAAAAAACAGGATACTGTAGGTGACTAATAAAACTTTTTAATACCTGAAAATAAAAGTGATATTTAAGCACGATGTCTTTAATAAGGACTTGAAAAAGTAAAAAGAATTCCACAGATAATATTGTTTAAATAATAATGTGGAATAAGCAATGATGACTAAAGGCCAAATAATTTCTCATGTGGCTTCTACTTTGTTTCACTAATTCCATTTAGTTAAGTCAAACCTTTATTAAGAATTCCTTGCACTGAGCATGAATTAAAATAAAGAGAAAGTTGGAATTTGAGAATTCTTATGAAAGAAAGAGATTGAAGCTCTTGGCCTTCATAGCATTTCATATTAAAGAAATTTCCTTGAAATTTCCCTGTGTTAATAACAAGTAATACATCTGTCACATAAAATTATAAATATCCAAGGTATAATTTGGCCATTTTGCTAAGTGTACAGACAAAAGTGCCTCCTTTATATACCTTAAAGACTGGTCCTTCCCATAAACAACAGACTGATGGTCAATATCTACAGTTGATTTAATTTTTAAATATTTTAGTTATATCTCCTCCCAACTGGGATGCAAGGCATGTTTTTCATAGAAAATAAAATGTAATTGAGGTCTCCATCTTTGCCTCTTTCTTTATCAGATCTTCTAAAAGGGGGTGAATGGACAAAAGGTATGGGGCAGATTGGGGGATGACTTGATAAGAAAATCACCTGGGAAATTTCCCAAACAACATGTTGAAGTTGATACAAAGAAAAACAACCATTTCATGAAAATAACGTGTTCTAATAACTTTGAAGCAATAGTATGTGTAGTAGAGACAGACTGCATATATTAGAATCCTGTTCTTCCCTTGGCTGTGTGACATCTGTTCTATTACTTAACTTTGTGATGTTCCCTCATTTTAAAGATGGGAATAATAATAATAGAATCTCATGGGATAGGTGCAAGGATGAAGAGACTTACGTATGTGTTGGCACATGGGGAAAACTTTATTATTGCTGTCAATCTGAAACAAAGCAAATAGCTTTTTTTTTAGAGAATGAGCAGGGTGAGTGTTTTATTATGCTATAGCCAAGACAAATAGAATGATGTTTACTCCACCAACTATAACAGTCTTGGATGGAAGACAAGACTAAGAGAAAAGACTTGCTCCTTCGAAAAATATTGAATATCCTGTTTATATTATCCTGTAATATCCTGATTACAGGGATTATTGTATTCCTCTATGCTCCATAACAGCCAATGGACACCTGATTACAATACTTACGATGCTGTGCTCTGTCTCCATATCTGTGTGACTCTTTCATTTACCTGGGCACCTCCTGAAGGCAAGAGTCACATCAAAATTCTTTGAATCTCAAGTGTCTAATAATACCTCACATGCAGAGATACTCAATACATGTTGAATGGCTGACGGATGTATTTTAAAAACAAAAACAAATGAGCATAAGGATTGAAAGTTTTCAGAGAAAGAATGGTATGTATGCATATAGCATGGGCTTAATATGTTAAATGAAATGTAAATTCTTTTCAGCAATTTCTTTCGAAACCTAAATCTATGTCTTAGAAATGATTCAGCAGTCCTCCCAATAGGATGAATTTACTTCAAAGATTGCACAGTTTTCTGTTTCTAGTGCAATTTGACAGAAAATATTGAATGTCCCTTAAGTGAGTGAAAGAGAGTTGTATTTGTATTACTCTTGACTAGTAAGGTATGTCATCTTATTAAGAAAGAAAAGTAGGAAGCCTATCTTGGTAAGCAATTTCATTTGTTTATAAACATGCACCATTTTATTCGCCTGACTTGGTTTTAGATTTTTTAAATTAAGATTTGTTTTAACTTACTTAAGATGAAGAAAATGTTTCTCCTTTTGAAATCTTGAAGATATTTCAGAGGGCATATTATATTGTCCATGCTTTACTTCCAAAATTAACCATATGTGGCAAGCTAGTCATATCTTTTGTTGGTAAGGTGTATGGTGTGTTTCTAATCTAGCAATCATGCTGATTTGTGCTGTATAATTGTTTTGTGAGTTTAGTGCTTAAAATATATTTACATGATTTCACTTGTCAGAAATAATATGATACTTGGTATATAATTCCTTCTTACCCTATTGGAATCAATTCTTGCTCTGGAAGTATAGATGGGAGGCGGGATGTTGAAAGCCTGAGGAACCAGGTATTCTTCGGCATCCATCATATCTTCTAAATCCTCTTCGTCCAAGAGATTCTGAAAGAACTTGCTGTCATTTGGACTGGGAAGCTTCATACGATCATCACCCTAAAGGATTGCCCATGAAGGAACATAAAAACATGATTTTTTTTCCCTTTATCTTAATAGGAGGCCTTTGCAGTAAATTTATATAGGGTCAAAACAAATGGTTGAAAATTCATGCACTCATTTAAAAAATAATAAATCTTCAGCATAACTGCCAGCCACAAAGAAGCCTATAATATGCTCAGATAGGATAAGGTAAGATAAATTAATTTAATACAAGAAGAATATGAGCAATGTCATTACAGATAAATAAGCAGAATGCTATGGATGTTTTGAGGGAGGCAAAATAGCTATCAGATCTGAGAATAAAGGTAGGCTTCATCTGCAGCATGGTGTTTGGGCTCTGACTTTCAGCATAAATAATAAAGGGCAATTGGTTTATCAATCTTTATTTTTTTGGTTGATTTGGTGGAGTAGAGGTATCAGGACACATGGGCTCCATGGTTTGTTCTGTAGAATAACATTGTTGAAGTAATAGCATTTGATATCACAGCACAGGTGGCTCATGACACAAATGGGGGTGGGAGACACACCAAAAGTCTTGTTATATCCTTTCTTTACTCATCTATTTCTGAAATATATACATTCTTTAAAGTTATGTGATTGTTTGGTGAACAATTTTTTTATGAAACTTAATTTGGCATCAAGATAGTTGGAAATTGTTATCTTCTAAAACCTAGCTTTCATCTTTATGTCAGACTATTGATATGAAGATAAAGCTACTTTGTTACACTGAGGAAACTTAATTCAGTGTAAGCCAAGGTCTGTGTTTTTATGGCTTAAATAAAACCATTACAGAGAAACATATTACAATTTTTAAATTATCCAATCCTCTTTCTCTAGTGTCCAATATAAAATGTTCTTTTGACCTATTATTTGATTCATATGTACAGCAATGCATTTGCATCTGAGTAATGTACACCTCTCAAAACAATACAAAACATATTTACAAATATTTATCTTGGAAATTAAATGTCAATATATCAAAACTTTTAATTCATTGTCTTCAACCATGGACAAGTTAAAAAGAACAGTCCATCTTCCTTTTATTCTGAAAGGGAAGATTATAATAATGAACATGAGTTATACATAATGTTAATGAAAAGCAGAGTGCTAAAGCCTTGTCTGAGTATAAAGGCCTTTCATGTATATGAATATTCATAATTATTGGCCATTCAATAGCAGAGACACTTGAATATTAAGGGAAGGTGCTTGGAATTGTTCTGACATTAAGTAAAAGGCTCTTTTCCATAAGTCATTCCACATCATGTTCTGCTTAGTAAATCTATTTGTGAGTGGTGACATCCACAGTTTCAAAATCCCGAAAGTATCCATATTTTGAAGTGAGTTTGTCATTGGAAAATTTTTTAAAAAGTCTGACTCAAATACACTAACCTGAATAACTAGATATCTTTGAGGGTCTCGAGCCATCCTGGAAAATTCAGCAGCCAGTTCCTTAAATTTAGGTCTACTGTCAGCATCGATCATCCAACCTAGAAATTCACATGCAATAAAAGTCATTATATTCATAATTAGGAAGAAGTGTGATGTAAAATTTATGAAAATATAGGTTCAGTTCAAATAATATTGTTTTAATAATAATGATCTGAAAATAAAGGAAGCTAACGAAAGAAACAATCCAATACCTGAATTTCTATCTAAATCAGTTTGTTGACACTCATAACTAAATGCAATATACTACAGAATAAAAAACTTTTTATTTTGCTGCTCTAACATAAAATTAATTTTTCTTCCTAGAAAACATAACCTAGGCTAACTATATATTAACCTACAGAATTTCAGATCTTTTTTCTTAGGTATGGAGATCATTTTCTTTTAAAACTTTTCTTTGATGGTTATAGAAGAGATGATTGGAATATAATTTATCATTTTCTAATCAGGAGTGAGATGCAGTAATGTCACTCATACTACAATAATAGAATAAAAATGTAATAATAGTAATAATAATTGTTCACAATGTGGTACACCAGCACAAAGCGGGGGGAGAAAGAATAGAAAGCAACTTTCATATGTTACATTTTTTCTGGTGGCAAAGAAAACCACAGCAACAAACTAATGCAAAGTGATTGGTAATATTTGTTCAGCAACAGCCATTAGCTTGTCTTAGTATTAGCCTTTCCAGCATAAAAATAACATCAGCAATTTTCAATGTGTGTATTATTATTTAGCTGGGAATCTAGGTGAAGTAGGTCTTATCTCCCCAGGCTCTGTTTAGCTGATGAGATGACATGAATAAAAGCAATAAGTTTGCCTTGATGTTTCTTTCCAAATGACCCTTTTCTTAGATATTAAAACACCTAAAAGCAAGGTAAAACTTCCTATTAGACAAAATGTTTTCCTAATTTTTCATTATTTCATCAGGGTAGCTACATGAAATATCTAAATCATCCCTTATGCTAGTTATGGGATCAAGTTATATAATGCATTCATGTTTTTAAACTTTCCTCCATAGAGGCCTAGTGAACAATGTTTGAGCCGATAAAGCAAGAACACTGTTTCTCTTTTTTCTCAAAGTTCAATTTTTATTCTTGTGCTGGAAGTCTATGAGTGTCACTTTATATATCATTTATTTCACCCAAAATTTTTTTCTCTCCTGACAAAGTTGAAATGTTTATAGTCTATATATTGGGTTGTTGGAAAAATCATGACGCATTTTGGCAATGAAAAACAGAGAAAAAAGACATCATGATTTTTCCGACAACCCAATAAATACATCCACTGAGAGAAACATTTTTTTTAAATACTGTTGATGCCAAGATGATAATAAGAAGATAGGTGTTTCTAGAACTATTGGAACCAAAAAAGGTTAACTTTGCAGTGAGTATCGGTTTCTTTCTAACTAAATATTGAGTAAATAGAGCTATGCTTAGAGAAAAGGGCATGCTGACCTGAACTGGAAAACACATTTTTATTTCTTCCCTCACTGTCAGAATGTATCACACATGTCATGAATATAAATCTGGGTAGACCTGGGTCCAAAGTCTCTTATTAATAAGATGCTTATTCACCTTCACCAGTTTGTTTCTTTGCTAACCCTGTGCAATTCAAAAGGAGAAAACCTCAGATTATACTAGAAAGATTGCTGAATGTTAATCTCACTTAAATTAAGTCAGAAACTCCAGAGACTTTTCTAATTCTGTTTAAATTAAGAGGCTAGACTTCCAAAACACATTCATAAGACATATGCATCTGGGGCATAGAAAGGAGAAAAAAATGTAAGAGACTTAGATGTAAACAAATGATCAAATTGGAAAAAAATAAACATTCATAATCTTTCTAGTTCAAAGTAGACTCATGTCTTCCCCCTACCCATTTTGTCCAGCTAATTCCCTGGTAAAATTATTTCTACTTAATTCATTTTTTAAAACTATCACTTTCTAGCTTTCTTTATTTTTAATCTGCTATTTTCCTATAAAATTACTAACATTGTTGTGACTAATTACATCTCTTTATGAAAGACAACTCAATTGTCATAGAAATGATAAGAATCAAAGTGAAATAAACAAAAAGAGCAAGAGTCACATAATTTGACTTCATAGCACAGAAGCATGATGTTGCTTCATATTAACAATAAGCAGAACAAACACAGGTGTTTACATGCTCCTTTCCTATCTATTTTTGAACTTTTAAATTTTTCAATGTACAGAAACCTTATACAGGTAGATTAATCTGTACCAGCACTTTAGTAAGAATGATGATGGGATTTCTTTTTAGGGGGCCAGATGGACTCATGTCTTGTGGGGGAGACCACTTCATAGGTGGTGTAGAGGCCTGACCACTGCACAGTATTTCTGAAGCTGATGTTGAATAATATTGTACGTCAACTATAATTATATATACATATAGTCACGGGATGTGGCGTAGAGTGTGGGAATGGAGTCAATGGAATTGTAATAGATAAGCATGATATCGGGGGTGGGAGGGCAGTGGATGGTGGGGGGGTTGTCACTTTGTGAGGGGTGAAAAGGATAATTATTGCATTGTTTTGTACACCTGAAACAACAACAACTACTACTACTACTACTACTACTACTACTACTACTACTACTACTACTACAACTACTACTACTAAAAGAATGATGATGGTAATGACAAAGTTATTTTGCAGTCTTACATTTGACCATGACCATATAAACGTCGATAGTGCAGATAGGAGGCTGGGGCAAACGTTCTCCTTTCTCTAATAAATCAGGAATTTCTCGGGTTGGAATTCCATCGTAGGGTTTTCCTCCAAAGGTCATCAGTTCCCATATAGTGACACCTAAATTGGAGAGCAAATTCTTAGATAAGCACACTAACCACATACTTTGAACACATCAGTGATATATGCCAGTGGCAAAGGAATGCTGCCGAGACAGCAATCAAAAATAGTCCAAAGAAAGGCTCTTCTGGTTCCTTCCTATATCTATTACGAGAAGCCCAAAGACAAAATCTTTGTGAGAAATTCAATTTTCCTATTATTGTCTTGAATTCTTTTAATGCGTAGCAGAGTCAATTCAGAGTGGATATCAGAATACTGAATGTGTTCCCCATTTCTAACTTAAAAATTATTCTAAAGTTTGCTGACTCAAGTTAAGTTTTATGATATCACATTAGAATCTATAAAATAATTTATCTACTATATACATGTGTATTCAGCATCAAGTAAACATGATTGCAGATAAGATCTGATACTGACTAAATCTGAAGTTAACAGCTTTGTATTTAAAACCCTAAAGGCTAACCTGGGCTCCTGAATGATTACATTATGTTGTGGTAAATAATTGTGGTCTCTTTTTAACTAACATAAAGAGAACAAGTGGAATAAAACTGATTCATTTCTTTAGCACATGAAAGCCTGAGTGAATAATGATTTATACGTAAGATATAATACACATGAAGTGGGCGTCAGAAAATTGAACTAGTGGCACAATTTAACTGATCTATATTAAATCCTACTTTACTTTGCATATTAAAGAATGCTCCATAGAACCAATGATTATAATTCGGTGTCCATGAGACAGGCTGGAACAAGTTAAGGTGTGAATAACTGTTCATTTCTATTCAGTCAGTCATATTTACAGAATATGTATTTAATGAGAGATTGTATTAATTTACCTATGCAGTTATATAAAAAAAGAATGAATACTCTCACATCTCTATCAAAACTTCTAACACAAGCAAGATACAAAGCAATTACAGATCAAAATGATAGAAGCTATAATAAATGAAAACATAAATACAAAAACAAAAACAGAAACATCGAAACTCCACTTTTGCCAACAACAATCTAATTCTGTCTTTGCAGAAGTGATGACAAGATGGGGTTTAACAGAGATGATTTTATGTAGAAGGACAATTTCAGGAAAACTAAATCAGAAACATCCTCAAAACTTACAATTCTGTTATTTTAAGATATAAACCATAGCTGATGCATATTTATTTTTATAAAAATAAAGATGCACCCAGTGGCGATTTTCCACAAAGCTGAACTACAAATAAGATTATGTATCTGTCTCTTCCTAGTATGCCTTTGAAATTGATGATATCGTAAAAATCTTTAAATGCTTTATGGGTATGGGTTGATGACTTGGGCTATGTCTCAAAACAGAGATCTATCTATCTATCATCTATCATCTGTATATCTTTATATTTTTATTGAGTAGCTCCCTGAGATTTTGCAACTGAACATGAAGATAAACATTATAACCTGAGTAACAGGATTTTCCCCCATAGATATAGTTTACTATTAAAAATGCTATGGCACTGCCAACATTTACTTTACTTCTTATGTTAGTGGTCATTCAAAATTTGCCTGCAGCCAATTGTTACATTAATTCAGGGAAACATAAGTAGAAAAAAGGGGGAGATAATATATAAATCTAGCATGTAAAATATAATATATAAACCTATCCATATGACAACTTATATAACATAACAAGACATGATATAATATGATATGATTAATATAATATAATATAATATAATATATCATATATCATATAATATAATATGATATAAAAATGCTTATCTACATACTCTATATCACATGGTATATATATATACATATATCATATATAATATATATGATAAATTTATTTTTCTATTTAGTTCTTACAGTTTAACAACTGAGTTTGTCAAGTATTCCCCTGTATTGATCTAAATCGCAAACACACAACCCTTGCATTTTAAGCCGAGTAGACTACATGACACCCTCATGGAAATTTAATGCCTCCCATGGCATATATGTGGGGGGGCGCAGAAAACCACTTTGTAGAAATGTCTAAAATTTTAAAGATAAATTATACTTTTTTACATAAGAGGTATAGTAAGTTCTTTAGTGATTAATTTTTTAAATTATTTTCTCTAAAAATTAAAAGAAAATATAAAACTAAGCTTAAATTTGAGTAAAATAAATCCTACTATGATTTTAAGTCCTCCCATTGACTTTTTCATTAATGGGCAACATGCTTTTAATTTGTAAGAAATGCTAGTTTTATAGGGTGTGTTTATATTAAAAAGGTATTGATTGATTCTTACTAATACCTGGATAGACTTAAGTTATAAAAAGTCTGACAGACTCATCTCAACAACTGAATTACACGCAATTAAATATATTTTCTTAATTTAAAAAATCACTCTTTTCTAGTTCATATTATTCACTCTGTAGTATATCTGTGTACTCCAAAGTATTTTGTAAATTAAAATAAAAGCTGCAATTAGAAATCTTTTTTCTCATCTCTCCCCTCACATTTATTACTCTACCTTACTATTTTCAGTAATTGTTCTTTATTATAACAATAATCTCCATTTTCTTACTAGAGAAAAGAAATTCCCACAAGAAAAAAAAAGTTCTTACTTTTTAACATTCATTGCATTTAAAGTTATGTTTTCAATGAGTTGCTGAAAATTATAGCCATGACATACTATGGAATTGTACCTAAACTAAAGTTGGCTGTTTTTGGTTGTCAAAATTATCAAATTATTTGAGAATTTGCTATCAAACCAAAGATTATGGTAGACAATTCAACCAAGATATTAATATATTACATTTTAGGGAAGCAAGAAATAACCAAAATGGCAGGTTACAATAGTATTTAGAATTTTTTTTGTTAATGGAAGAGTAAAAAGTTAATTGCATTAGAAAATGAGGCTTGTAAATAGGTATTTTCAACACAATAAAATAATTTGGGTTAAGATATTTTACATGAACCTAATATATTTATTTTTGCCTTAAAAGCCTTAATTCACAGGAAGATTTATTTACCATAGCTCCAAACGTCACTCTGATGGGTGAATTTCCTATAGTGTATACACTCCAGAGCCATCCATTTAATTGGCATCTATAGGGAAATAAGAAATGAAAACTTTATCGTTATATAAAAAGTATTTCTATATTTATTTCCTAAATATGAGTCTTTAGACTGCCTCAGTTATACTTTTGAGTGTGTATAGAAAATATAAATATGTTATTTTTCAATACAGGGAACAAATGAATTGAAATTTATAAACTTCATAAAGTGAATTAATCTAATGATATATTCATTTTTTTAAAAATCTTCAACAGTGAAAAGTAAAATAATAGAATAAGTATCACTTTTTATAGTTCTTAATGTTCAGTAATTAATTTACTAGTTAATATTATGACTTAACAATTCTAAACATCTAGCATGTATTCTAAAAATTATACTTTTTCCCCAAAGTGAGATTCCTTATATTCTTGGTTATCCCTTTTTACCCTCAGACAAATGTCTGACCACCAGTAAAATGGACCCTTTCTATACTTGCCTCTCCCTTCTCCTCTTATGTAATTTGGTCACTAAAACATGTAAAATAATGAATCCCAAGTTAACCTTGCTTTGTTCCTCTTCCACAAATGATCCCCCTCATCTTGGTTAGCCAGTATTGAAAATATGTACCAGTTTCAATATAGGAATTATATGAAAGAATGTGAGAGAATCAGTACAAATCCATCATCACTACAAGCAAAGCAACTCAACTCACATACTCTGCCGATGATGGGTCAGCAGAATGAGTTTCAACTACGAAGGGCAGCATTACATTGCTGGAAATATAATTAGATTCTATGGAATAAAGATAAACACTCCTTCTTTGCAGTTGAAAGCTTAAAACTAAATAGGCCTTTGAAATCATGAGGTTGGCTGCTCACCAAGGTGACGCCAAGGTAACTCTATGACAGAAACATGGTATTCAGTGAAAGGGAACAGAAGACACATTGAAAGTGATTTCCCTGTGGGCTAAGAGTTAGCCGACTTTATGGACTACAGATATTGTGTTAAAGAAGTAAGTTTAAATCACAGGTGGCTTGATAAAGACAATGGTTACTAGGCATTCAAAGCTATAATGAATCTTGCTTTAGACAAATCTTACGGCTGTATGTTCTCACGACAAGTGAAGTGATTTATAGACTTCTAGTTTTGTGCAATCTTGTAGTGAATTTCAAAGCTGTAGACTCAAACCGCTGCAATTTGGTAGTAAACAGGCAAAATAGTCTAATAAAATCATGACGTATTTTTCTATATTTTTCAATGCAAAAATGCGTCATGACTTTCCAGACGACCCAATATATAGGAGTTTAGCATAAAAATCAATGTTAATATTTGGAATCTAACCATTGCAAAATATTTATAATATATACTTGGATGACCCATAATGAATAAGTCACATAATAAACATACTTATATGACATATGAACAATGCTTGCTTTTTGTTAGCATCAGCTTATTGACCACCACAGGTTAAAGTTGCATTTGCTTATCTCATTTGACCTCTCCTGACCTCAGTTTCCACAGTCAAGCTAGAGGGACTTCCACATGAAGACGATGCTAGTTGGTTAGCCCAGGATGGCAAATTTCACAGGGGGTTAATGAGGAAAGGAAAGAGCTGGAACTAAGGCATGAACATATGGTGGGTGAGAGAAGCAGGGACACAGCTGTCAGGCAGGGCCTGAGGCTGGCGCATCAGAAAAGATAGAACAGGACGCAGCACTGTTCAGACCCCTGGGACATAGCAAATTACATTCTAGTGGAAAGAGTCAGGTAATAAATAAAGTAAATGGTAACTCATACACTATGATAAAAGCGTTAAAAAAGAGCCAGATAAGAGGAATCTGTTGTATCTGGTATAGGAGGATAAGACGTTAAACAGGATGGCCAGCGTTCCAGTGAGTTACGGCTATTAGTAGGAGCCAAGTTTCTCTCTATGGGAGAGAAGTTGTTTCCTGATGTAAGAATCAGTCCTATGTTTTTAGGATCAATGGAGCGATTTCTATGGCCCTGGATTCAAGTTTACTTTCTAGAGTCACGAGCATTCCACCGTCTTTCCAACACTGGGTCTGACATAAGGACCACATGGGTCCAGGCATGCATCATCTTTATTTTAGCTACTTTTGAGAAATAGAAGTTGGTGATATATTCTCTCTCTCTATTTTTTACCCTGGGCAGGAGAGAAGGCAAATGATAGAATTGGCATTTTATAATCTTAGACCTAAGGCTTTTTGGCTTCTTCCTACAAAATACAAGGAGATAAAAGGCTATCATACCATGTTTTCCAGCATTATTTCTCAAAAAAATACTCACCTTTCCTCCATCAGCATTATACTCTTTTTCATCACCTTCCAAGAGCCTGGCAAGTCCGAAATCTGTGATTTTCACATGGTTTGGAGATTTCACTAAGACATTCCGAGCTGCCAAATCACGATGAACAAGCCGTCGTTCTTCCAGATACATCATTCCCTGAAAAACAACAAGTTGCCCAATGATAGTCACTTAATGCCTAGGCTTTTCTATTGTCTAAAAAGGAGTTTCTTGGCATTCAGTGGAAAGTGCTTGATTTTTCCAAGTGAAGCAGAATCTACAATATTTTCAAAATTAGGGAAAACCTGGGATAAAAGAGCGAACCACAAATAGCTTGGCCTTTTCTCCCCAAATTCCTGTGAAGAAGAATAAATTACCTGCACATGAGCTAAATGTTACATCATTTTTTCCCACAGACTTGATATTCTTTTGAAAACACTTTCATTAGTGAGGTGTGCAGGTGTCTTAGTAGATAAGCTAACATATACTCATATTTGAGCTGACCCACATATTTCTAATGTTTTCTTCTCAATAACTTGTGTCATATCATTTTGCCCCTACACACCTACTCCAAACAAACACACTTATCCATAATTTTAAAAGATATTTCATATGAAGATTTAATGGTGCCAAAATCACCATCATAGATTCTATCAAGGCTGAAGAGTTATATCCTTATTATTAATTATGCAGAAAGTGAAGTATACCCTAGGGTCATTGAAAGCCTATAATTTCAAAAAGTGGCTTTGATGACATTAGTAGTTATCATAAGAACCCACAAGTGAAATTACATAGTTTATAATGACCCTTAAATTAGCCTTTAATATGTTGTCTTCATGAAACATACAGGGAAATTGAAAATAAAATGTATTACTGATTGCCAACAAGAGACATAGCTGATTCTCCCCCTACTACACACACACACACACACACACACACACACACACACACAGACACACACATACATACATAAACACATACATACATATATATTTGTATACATATAGGTGTATATGTTATATATATATATATACCATGTATGTATAGATAACATATATATGTATCTACACAGATTTTTAAAATTTCATAGAAGCAATAATTATAAATCATTACCTCAGGAGCAGGGAAACTAACAGTTAACTAAAAGGTTACTATAATACCAAGGAAATGAACTCAGAGGGCTAGAATGAATACATTTTGTTGAAATAAACATATTTTTATTAAAGAGTTAGGGAGGATTCTTTATTTGAGGATTTAAGTGGTAAAAAATGGTCATTCATAAGCAAATCAGAATTATTATAAAATGGTTAAAGATACTCTCATGAAAATTGCAAACCAATGCTGTTTGCAGTTAACATTACAATGGCAGGACTTTGAAAGATTAACGGTTTCTGATATCCAAACAAAAGCTGTGGAAAACAGACACATAAATCACACAGGTCAAAAAATTATGAACCATATACTCGGTGTAGTGTAAAGAGAAGATTGCTTCAAACAGCATCATAAGCCAAACTCTATATAAATGTCCATTAAACACAACCAGTGGAGATACTGCCTGAGATGGTCCAATCAGTCAGCAGCTGGGTGACACCACATGTATTAGAGTTTCCTGAAATCAACCCAAGACTGGGATTTATGGGGTTCCTGCCCTCTTTCCTAAACTGTGCTTTCTGTTTGATTATGACAACTTAGAAATTCCTAGAATAAAGTGAATCTGAAAACAGATAGTCCTTAGATGACTTGAAGGATCAAAACAAATAAATAAATTAACTTATTGCCTTGGAGACAATGTATTTTCAATAATTTTGTCCCTTTAAGAAATATCCACAAACACGTTCATTCTTTCTTACCACCTTCATATCAGGATATGGAGAGTGTACTGGCAACAAGATAATATTCAGGTCTGTACACAATTACAGAACACGTATCCTATGTGCTTAGCACTGTGCTAAACATCAGAGAGACCAAAAAGAGCCAGATAAGGCCTGCACATTAAAGCAGGATAGAATTAAATTAATAAAGTGGGCAGATATGAAATACAAACTTGAATGGATCGGTGTGATACATGTAAGGCCTTTAAGCAGAGATGTGTCTTGAGGACCATTTATAATACAGTCTATAAAATGTGCATGAAAAGGAGGCTTCAGAGAGATACTGAGGCCTAAGTAAGGTTTGAATAATATCCACCAGTTAGTCAAGGTGAGGGCAAAATTTCAGATAGAAACAATAGGCACAGTCGCTTCAAATAACATGGTGCACTTGGACAAAGGCATGTAATCCTGTGTTTCTGAAGAATAATGTGTGACGGAGGAGGAATGGTGAGTGGTGAAACTGAAAAAAGTGAGAAGAGGCTAGATCGAGAAAGGGCCTCATACATGTCATGGTAGAAAATTTGGACTTGCACTTTATGCAGCATTCAATGTGGTGATGCAGAAGTTGCTTTAAAAAAGAAAATGAGACAATTATCATCGGTGTCTTGGTGCCACTATAGAGGATGGACTGGACACAAATAGAGCTGAAGCCAGGAGTCACTGCCCCAAAACAGAAGAGAATGTGAAATAAAGTTTGCAAATTGGCAGTCCATGAGCTACATCAATTTTATATATATATATATATATATATATATATATATATAAGTCCCACACCAGGTAAGTTTCAGTCTCTTTAGCTAATTATTAAATGTACCCCATTGTGGATATCTGGTCGTCTGTTTGCCAGAATCCCACCATTCTGCTTGCATCATTTATGATACTCAACCAGCTCCCACATACATGAGTGTCTGAATCTTCAACTAAACAAGGCCAAAAGGAATGTAAGGAAGCAGACTATTTCAAGGTACATTTATAAAATAAAATAATTATCCTTGGTAGTTGACTGAATAATAAATGAGATTAAATCAAGAATGATTCTGTATTTGTGTTTTGTAATTTAAGTAGATAATGATTCCTTTAACTGAATAACATCCTAACAGAAATATCATGTATATATTTGTTAAACATGTGAAGAATAATGATATCTATTATACCAATAGGAAACTAACATTCACCAAAACTCTAATGACGCATTTTATATCATAAGCAAAACTTCAAAAACTTTAAAAGTTCCTTTGTATTCTACACACCACACCTTAGCAGGTGACAGAATACCTTGAAGTGCACTGCTATTCATTCAGAAAAAACGATTTTTTTCAAAATAATAAAAACCCAATTGGGGAAACCAGATGATAATCGCTATACAATTTCCCCACACAACCAGCCATCATTAAAATAAATAAAAACAGAAGCATCTGTATCATTACCAAACCATAAAAATACATTGGTATGGTTGCTTTGTAACTATGAACTATCATTGTACAGGTGTGCACTTTCAAATCCTTACTTATGACTTAGTCCTACTTTCACACCTTGAATTTGAGTGTTGAGTCATCGATGGATTGCTCACAATAGGTTTCCCCACATCACAGTCAGTAAGGTAGGATTTTCTTACTGGAAGATCTCATTGGAGTCACATTCCCTGCTAGAGTCCTTCAAAATGAAACCACTCCTTAAATCAGAGTGTGATGCATTAAAGAGGTAGATAGCTATTAGAAATGGCAGTGACAAAAATAAACTGATGTTCCTTGAAGTTCGAAGATGATTAAAGAAGGGTCGTTCATTATGATAGAAGGATGCTGCATTCATTGAAAAGAGACCTTTTACTATGCGCTGTAGCAACTCCGATGCCCTTGCCATACCAGCTCAGCTGAAGTGCATTATGGGAATACTAACACTGACCACAACCACAGCTAACATTGACCGAGTACATAGAACCTGGCAGGGATTATACACAACACTTCCTCATTGGTAGCTGGGTTAATTCTATGAGATGCATTCTGTTTTAATCTCATTTTAAATATGAGAAAACCAATGCTATGAGAGCACAAGTTACGTGCTCCGAGTCATCTGGCTAAGAACGTGAATTTGATCTCTTGATATGGAACTCTAAATCTGCATATTTAAACCTACCTGACTCTCTGGATGGGTCACAGGGTTGTGTGGGCATGTGGAAATCAATCTACACAGCACAATTATATAGTTTTAAAGTATTATAATTACTTTTGCAGGAAAATAAAATATTTTTAGATGTTTCTGTGAATTTCAAGGCAATGGTGATTGACTTGTTTGTACTTATAGTTCACATTCAGCTAACTTATAGAACCATTTATAATATAGCAGGAATTTGAATTGTGTAAATTGGGAACTCAGGGCTTGGCTTGGTTTGGCCCAGGATATGCAGGATGGTGGTGTGGGTTTGAGTGCAGGTTCTGGAGTCAGTTGCCTGCATCGAATCCCAGCTCTGCCATGTTCCAGCTGTGTGACTCTGGTGAGTTCATTAGCCACTCACCTTCCACTTCTCTAAAATGGCCATGATAGCACCTATCTCACAGGTTGTTGTGAAAATTAAACAGGTTAATATATGTAAAGCACTTAAATAGTAACTGCATGTAAGAAGTACAGAACAAGCATGCTTTATCATTGTTCCATAGATGGATATATTCCGAGTGTGCTCCAGAGTCACATGCCCTCATTAACTTGAATTGCCTATTTCAGAAAACCTGTGAACCTCAACTAATATATCACAGTAGGTGTTCAATAAATGCTTGCAAATGGTGATACATATACCTACAACCTACTCATCATGATTAATGCGTAGATACAAGTTTTAGAATAATTACTGTTGAAAGTATTATTTTAATAATGACTCACCTGAGGATGCTGTCATATAGGAGAAGAAAAATGGAGGGAATCCATTAAAAGATTTGGTGCCTTCCATAAATATATCAGAGATTCAGGAATTTAGTGACGATAAAGGTTATGAAAGAGGTCAAAAAGTTTTCAGTGCTGCATAATGTTTTCCGTGGGTGAATAAAATAGGAAACCTGTTGTGCCAATGTATCTGCCTTTTGTCACTCAGCAGTAAGGGGGGGTTTTGGTAGATGTATTTTAGGAGCATTTTGTCTACTTTTTGATCCAGGTGCTACAAGTCTGATTTTAAACAAAGTATTCAAAATTTACCATTACCTAAAACTACTAAGAATTTTATCATTTTTCATACTTGCTCTGTGTGCTATAATAAGTTTTCAATGAATACTTATTTATTTTGTTTTGCTCATACCTTTA